AGGCAAGCTGTCCCCCTGTGTGTTGACTTGCTCTGAACAGTCTGCGTAATGCACCTTTAATAGGGGAGATGTTCCCCTCCCGCCACAACCTGCGGCAGGGACAGGTGGCCATTTTGTGTTCAGCTCAGTGCAGACTGTTACAGAGACAATGTATAAATATGTCATTGGCCGAAAGCATCCGGTTGCTCTTGGGAATGGAAAAAACCAGCAGTTCCTTTCTTTCTGCCACCAGGCATGCCCCTCTGTCTACCTCACATTGCTATCCTGCCACCCAGCATATCGTATCTGAGCAGCCTTCACATCAAATCAAAACAAAACAAAAATCCCTAGCAGCCTGGCCTCCTTAGTAGGGGCAGCACTCTGCTGGGGGTTGGGGTTTTGGCTTGGATTTATTTATTATTTTGGGTTTTTCCAGTCTGTGGGATTTAGGAGTATAAGGGGAGGTGTCATTTTCCAGCAGCAGTGTTTGCCGAAAGAGCAAATATTGTGGAATGTTTGTGGAAAGCCAGTTATAAAATGCCAATGTGGGCCGAAGACCTGATGCTAGGAATGACCCTCACCCAGTAAGCAAACACCAGGGGACACAGATGTCCTGGCCAAGACTGACGGCTCCAGCTGACGCTCACCCCAAAGAGCTTGTGAGCGACACACAGGCGGAAGTACACTCCTGGGGCACCCTTGTCACTTCAGGTCATGCGACGTGACAAGGCCAGTTGTGGAACGTATGATGGGCTCATGGGCAATTCAGGACCAGGAGAAATGGCTCTCCTCACCAGTCAGCATTCCTGATCTCAATGACTTGAATCAGCAAAGCTTTCCATAGGATTAGGAGGCCAAGGGTTCATTGTCAATCTCCAGACCCACACCTTAGGCAAACACTAAAGCAGGTACCAAGGTAGAAAGGGAAATGAAGTTCCTTTCAGTGCCTGCTGCCATCTCCTGCTTACTGCAGGGTCACACGCTCCAGAGCCATGGAGACCCTTTCTTCCGGAGTGTCCAAAGCACGAGGGCATGCGTCAGTGGCCCGGGATTGGATTGGAACATCACTCATCACAGGGAATACTGTGCAAAGCAGGGGAAGGAGGGCTGGGGCAGAGGTGAAGGGGGAATGCGCAGAGCCATACACCTGCACTCTCACTGCCTCAGGAAAGAGCAGGATTGCTGGATAAACGTATAGCTGGGACATGTATCCAGCTGGCCCTTCCCACAGGTGATACCGTGCACCCACCCAAAGCCCCAGGGACATATAGGAACCTAGGTCCAGATCCTAACTTCCATTGAACTCAAGGGGAGTTCAGTGCCTACATCTTCCCTAGTGCCCAGGGCCGGATCAACTCTCCTGTGGGCCTGGGGCTATTAGATTTTGTGGGGCCCCTGTATACAAGTCTTTTCCCTAATTTAAAATAAAATTATTACAACCATGGCATCGAGGCTATTAATGCTATAGCTATTAATGCTATACTAAACTTAGAATCATAGAATTGTAGAATATTAGGGTTGGAAGATACCTCACGAGGTCATCTAGTCCAGCCCCAGCTCAAAGCAGGACCAACCCCAACTAAATCATCCCAGCCAGGGCTTTGTCAAGCCGGGCCTTAAAAACCTCTAAGGAAGGAGATTCCACCACCTCCCTAGGTAACGCATTCCAGTGCTTCACCACCCTCCTAGTGAAATAGTGTTTCCTAATATCCAACGTAGACCTCCCCCACTGCAACTTGAGACCATTGCTCCTTGTTCTGTCATCTGCTACTACTGAGAACAGCCGAGCTCCATCCTCTATGGAACCCCCCTTCAGGTAGTTGAAGGCTGATATCAAATCCCCCCTCGCTCTTCTCTTCTGCAGACTAAACAATCCCAGTTCCCTCAGCCTCTCCTCATAAGTCATGTGCTCCAGACCCCTAATAATTTTTGTTGTCCTCCACTGGACTCTTTCCAATTTTTCCACATCCTTCTTGTAGTGTGGGGCCCAAAACTGGACACAGTACTCCAGATGAAGGCTCACCAATGCCGAATAGAGGGGAATGATCATGTCCCTCGATCTGCTGGCAATGCCCCTACTTATACAGCCCAAAATGCCATTAGCCTTCTTGGCAACAAGAGCACACTGTTGACTCATATCCAGCTTCTCATCCACTGTAACCCCTAGGTCCTTTTCTGCAGAACTGCTCCCTAGCCACTCAGTCCCTAGTTTGTAGCAGTGCATGGGATTCTTCCGTCCTAAGTGCAGGACTCTTCACTTGTCCTTGTTGAACCCCATCAGATTTCTTTTGGCCCAATCCTCTAATTTGTCTAGGTTCCTCTGTATCCTATCTACCACTCCTCCCAGTTTAGTGTCATCTGCAAACTTGCCGAGGGTGCAATCCACGCCATCCTCCACATTATTAATGAAGATATTGAACAAAACCGGCCCCAGGACCGACCCTTGGGGCACTCCGCTTGAAACCGGCTGCCAACTAGACATGAAGCCATTGATCACTACCCGTTGAGCACGATAATCTAGCCAGCTTTCTATCCACCTTATAGTCCATTCATCCAGCCTACACTTCTTTAACTTGCCGGCAAGAATACTGTGGGAGACCGTATCAAAAGCTTTGCTAAAGTCAAGGAATAACACGTTCACTGCTTTCCCCTCATCCACAGAGCCAGTTATCTCCTCATAGAAGGCAATTAGCTAGTCAGGCATGACTTGCCCTTGGTGAATCCATGCTGACTGTTCCTGATCACTTTCCTTTCCTCTAAGTGCTTCAGAATTGATTCCTTGAGGACCTGCTCCCTGATTTTTCCAGGGACTGAGATGAGGCTGACTGGCCTGTAGTTACCTGGATCCTCCTTCTTCCCTTTTTTAAAGATGGGCACTATATTAGCCTTTTTCCAGTCATCCGGGACCTCCCCCAATCGCCATGAGTTTTCAAAGATAATGGCCAATGGCTCTGCAATCACATCCGCCAACTCTTTTAACACCCTCAGATGCAGCGCATCCGGCCCCTTGAACTTGTGCTCGTCCAGCTTTTCTAAATAGCCCTGAACCACTTCTTTCTCCACAGAGGGCTGGTCACCTCCTCCCCATACTCTGCTGCCCAGTGCAGTAGTCTGGGAGCTGACCTTGTTCGTGAAGACAGAGGCAAAAAAAGCATTGTGTACATTAGCTTTTTCCACATCCCCTGTCACCAGTTTGCCTCCCTCATGCAGTAAGAGGTCCACACTTTCCCTGAACTTCTTCTTGTTGCTAACATACCTGAAGAAACCCTTCTTGTTACTCTTAACATCTCTTGCTAGCTGCAACTCCAAGTGTGATTTGGCCTTCCTGATTTCACTCCTGCATGCCTGAGCGATATTTTTATACTCCTCCCTGGTCATTTGTCCAAGCTTCCACTTCTTGTAAGCTTCTTTTTTGTGTTTAAGATCAGCAAGGATTTCACTGTTAAGCCAAGCTGGTCGCCTGCCATATTTACTATTCTTTCTACACATCGGGATGGTTTGTTCCTGCAACCGCAATAAGGATTCTTTAGAATACAGCCAGCTCTCCTGGACTCCTTTCCCCTTCATGTTATTCTCCCAGGGGATCCTGCCCATCAGTTCCCTGAGGGAGTCAAAGTCTGCTTTTCTGAAGTCCAGGGTCCGTAGTCTGCTGCTCTCCTTTCTTCCTTGTGTCAGGATCCTGAACTCGACCATCTCATGGTCACTGCCTCCCAGGTTCCCATCTACTTTTGCTTCCCCTACTAATTCTTCCCTGTTTGTGAGCAGCAGGTCAAGAAGAGCTCTGCCCCAGTTGGTTCCTCCAGCACTTGCACAGGAAATTGTCCCCTACACTTTCCAAAAACTTCCTGGATTGTCTGTGCACTGCTGTATTGCTCTCCCAGCAGATATTGGGGTGATTGAAGTCCCCCCAAGTTGATCAGGGCCTGTGATCTAGTAACTTCTATTAGTTGAACCTCATCAGATTTCTTTTGGCCCAATCCTCCAATTTGGCTAGGTCACTCTGGACTCTATCCCTACCCTCCAGTGTGTCGACCTCCCCCCCCAGCTTAGTGTCATCTGCGAATTTGCTGACAGTGTAATTAATCCCATCATCCAGATCATTAATAATAACTTGCCTTTTAATTAACGTAAAGCCATTCTGTGGTTACATTTCAGTGTTAAAACGTAGAATATAGTTAATTCAAAATAGCCTACTTAGAACAGCTGTTATATTAGTTTCTTTCTGGGAGGGAGTTTGTGTGCAGGAGGGGGCTCAAGGCTGGGACAGAGTGTTGGGGTGCAGGAGAGGGTGAGGAGTGCGGGCTCTGGGAGGGAGTTTGGTGCAGGAGGGGATTCTGACCTGGGGCAGGGGGTTGGGGTGCAGGAGGGGGTTCAGGTTTCGGCCGGGAGGCACTTACCACAGGCGGCTCCCAGCCGGCGGTGCAGCAAGGCTTAGGCAGGCTGCCTGCATGCCGTGGTCCCACGCCGCTCCCGGAATCGGACGGCTGCTGGCACGTCTCTGTGCACCACTGGGGGGAGGGGGATAGCGTGTCTCCGTGCACTGCCTGTGCCCGCAAGCGCCGCCCCCGCAGCTCCCATTGGGCAGTTCCCGGCCAATGGGAGCTGCGGGGACAGTGCTGGGGGCGGGGGCAGTGCGCGGAGCCACCTCTACCCCTCCCGGGGCTGCAGAGACATGCCAGCAGCCGTCCGATTCCGGGAGCGGTGTGGGACCACGGCATTCAGGCAGCCTGCCTAAGCTCTGCTGTGCCAAAGCCCCCCCTTAGCCCGGGGCCCTGGGCTGCAGCCCCTAAAGCCCCTGTGTTAATTCGGCCCTGCTAGTGCCTGGCTTCCCTCATTCTCTCCCTCTTTCCCTGTCTATCATTCTCTTTTCCCACTGCCACTCTCTCTGCCCCCTCCCTGCCCCTGAGATAGGTCAGAGCAGGGGCAAGGGCAGTACGGGTTTGAGGGGAGGAGAGACGCAGGGTTTCTAGCGCAGCACAATCTCCAGCCAAAGAAAGGTGACACCTTCCCTCCAGACCCACCTGAGTAGGTTGCTGGTCGGAGGGGGAGCCTGCGCAGGGGGGCACTGGGACGTCCGGCTTCCTGTGGGGCGACGTAGCTGATGGTCTCTGCAAAGGAAACGGATGGCATTAGTTACTCAGTGGACTGGCTCATAGGGTCTGTTGTCTCCATGCTGCCCCCCGGGCTGGAACCCCGACCCCCAGGGAGACTGTCCAGGGGAAACTGACCCCTAGTCCCTGTCTTGGGGCTCTCTGGACCTCTCAGCTCTGGTATTGCCCCTGTGAAGGGAGCTGAGCTCAGTGGGGCAGATGCTTATTCCCACTCCTCTCCTGCTGCTCCCAGGGGATACAAGGCCCTTCCAGGGGCTGGCTCCTGAGAGAGTCAGTAACATTCAATAACATTGAGGGCGACAAACTGGTGGAGACCCAGAATCGGACACACCCACCCAGGGCCAACCATGTCTACTGCAGCTCTGCAAAGGACTGAGGGCCCCGGCTGCAAGCCAGGGTGCAGAGCCCAATTCATGGGAATGCAGGGCCCCGCCAGTGCAGATGCCAGGCAGAGCGATGACCAGCCAGAGGGACACTGAGCAGAGGGCTGGAGGGGTGGGAGAGTGGGGGCAGAGGAGAGCATGTTGAGCTGTGCCCACCTCAGGGACACTCCTTGTTTCCCTGGGTCTGGATCACACCCTACAAGCCTGGACAGTTGCTTGGGGATGCTGCTGGGCCAGCATGGGGAGCAGGAATCCACCCAGCCTGGGTCTCCCACAGGCCAGCACACACAACTAATTGCTAGCCCCGAGCTGGCCGTCTGCTTTGCCACAAGCCCCCTGCAGGCTGGCGCTGCCTGACCCCCCCGGCACTGCAGAGTCCCAGCCACCCTGCAGCATGGCCCCTCTCCCCACACAAAGCAGAAGGGGTGTCAGGCACAGCTGCCCATCTCTGAGCCAGGGCAAGGGCAAGACCTGATGCTGGGCTGGGGGAGCAAAGGAGGATGGGCCAGCCTGGGCCTGGACATGAGGCAAACAATCTTCCCCGAAGGTGCCAGGTCTGGTTTAGGTGCTAGCTCTCTGTGCTCCCCCCAGGGACTCCCCCAGAGCCAGCCGGGCACTGAGAAGATGCCAAAGCTTCTTCCTAGGCCCTGCAAGGAGCTAACCGGAGTGCAAAGGGTTAACATCTCCCCCTCCCCCCACAGGTCTCCCAGTCTGTCCAGGAGCCACCTGGCTGGGGTGTGTAGGCAGGTATGGCCCCTTGCTTACAGCTGTCCAGCCAAGGAGACCCTGGTGAATCAGGGGAGGGGGACGGGGGAGGGAAAGCCGGTGCCTTTTGATCTCTCCCCCCAACTAAGCAACCTAATCTAACATTCCCCTCTGTCTCTAGGCACAGCTCCCGCCTGCCCACGGCTCAGTTAGGGTGACCAGATGTCCCGATTTTATAGGGACAGTCCCGATATTTGGGGCTTTGTCTTATATAGGCACCTGTTACCCCCCACCCCCGTCCCGATTTTTCACACTTGCCCTCTGGTCACCCTAAGCTCAGTTCCCCAGTCCCTGCCCCCACGGGGCTGAGGCTGTAAGGGAGGGGTGCCCCAAACTCAACCCACAGGCCTTTTGGGGTGCGGAAGGAAGCAAGGACAACATACACTTTCCCTGGGCAGTGGGGACAGAATTCCAAGCTCCCAGTAGCTCAGCCAGTGGGACGGACCCTCGCTGTTGGGAACAGCCAGAGAACCGCAGCGGGGAGAGGGGGCAGACGAACCCCCTCTGTCCTGATGGCCACTCGATAAGGCCCAAGTCAACATCTGAACTCAGACCCCAGCGTAGGATCAGGCACTGACCATCCAGGCTGGCCTCACCCGCGGGTCCTTTGACTTGGAAAATGGGAGCCAACTACATTTGTCAGGGCCTTCTCTCTCTGCTGCTCCCCCATCTCGGGCACCTGGGTCACAGGCACATTCCCTCCCCAAGCAGAGAGATGGAGGGGTTGGGGTAAGCAGATGACTTCCTCAGTGGCGGAGGAGGAGCTAAGAAGTGTTGCTTCATTCCTCCATTCGGGTCAATGTCCTTGGGGCCCCAAGGAAACATTCCCATTCCCAGAACTGCCTTTCTTGGAAGGACGGCACTGAACTTTAGCCCAAGCTCCCAGCTAGAAAATCCCTGTTGGAATGAAACGGACGATGTTATAGACAAACACTAGGGGATGTGAGGGGCAATAGCTAGGGCCAGCAACAGGGCTGAACTAGCACCAGAAACAGTGACTATGTGACAGCCTATGTGCATGGCCCTCTGAGCTACACTGCAATTGCGCACTGCTTTCCACCCCTCCATACACTGCACCTTTGCACTGCACCTCCAACCTACTCCGCAACTCTCCATGTATTGCACCTCTGTACTATACTGCAATTAGTCACTGCTTTCTACCTAGCCATGCATTGCATCCCTGCACTGCACCTGAAAGCTACACTGCAACTCTTCAGCAAACCTCCGCACTGCATTACACCTCTGCATTGCACTAGCTCGTGGCACTGCACTACACCTCTGAATGGACTGCGCCTCCAAACTACACTGCAACTTTCCATGCATTCCACCTCTGGGTCACACTGCCTCTCTTTGCATCACAGCCTCACTTTGACCCAACAATAGTGCGTGAGCACCCTGCATTGTGCACATGCCTCGGCTTTGCACCTCAGTGCCATATGTGCTACTCTGCACCAGGTGCTGTGGAACTCCCTGCGGCAGGAGGCCATTGAGACACAAACAGCTGCTGGATTGGACAAAGGACTGAGTGACATGACTGTTGTAATAACTCTGGTCGCCCTGCAAGCTGAGGGTGATCAAACCTCATGTTTCAGGGTGTCTGATGAATGCCAGGAAGTGCCCCTTCCAAGTACAGCTCCAGGCACCAGCAGGGGAAGGTCTGCCGGTAGGGCCCTTGTTTCCCCTGTACACTGACACATGCCCAGATCCAAGATTAAATCTGCTCCCAGATGACTGTGCACCTGCAGTTGGCACTGGAGAAGGGCACAGCGGGCAACAGGAGGTGTCAGGCAGTGGAGGGGGAAACAACACAGTGGGAATCAGGGAAGGGACAGTGCAGTGGACACTTGTGGGTGTGGGCATTAGGGGACAGAGAGTATCTCTAAGGGCAGGAACACATGGGCATCAGGGTTGGCAGTGGAACAATGAGGAGGGCATCTGGGGGGCAGGCCACAGTCTGGCAGGAATGGAGGATGGGACATGTGCAGCACCCAGTGGGGATGGCACAGGGGGAAGGGGAGGTATAGTGGCATTGGAGAATGGGGGAGCATGATGTGGTGGGGAGCATATGCAAGGCATAGTGAGCAGTCACTGAGTGGACAAGGCCTGGAGAGTCCCTCATTGCATTGCGTGAGGCTGCCCTACAGGCTGTATGTGCAGGCAGGTGGGTGGGATCAGTCCTGAGGCCACGTGACATGAGCACAGCTGAGTTCGCCCCATGCTCAGGCACATGTCCTGGTCCTGCCTCCCCTTAGCGCATTTGGAGGAGCTGGGAGTTTGTGTTTGCAGAAAGAGGCCAAACTTTTGCAAACACCTTTCGAGCACGGATGTTTGATTTGCTTTGGGATCAGGGCCTGCTGTCACCAGATCCTACACTGGCGCTGCTGGGGAGACCGTGAGAGTGAGTTAGCACGGGACTCACCTGGGGGACTCACTGCTGCAGCCTAGTACCCTAATGAACTGGCTGCTGTGTGCGAGCCCTGCCCTCTACTGGCTGCAATGAGAACTGCTCCCCATGTTGGCAGGCGCTCAGCTGGTCAGCGTTAATTCTGATTCAAGGTGAACTCCAGTGAGGGTTTTCGGAGCAGGGGCAGCTGCGTTTGAGCTCTGCTGACACTGTGACATTTCCAGAGGGAGGACCAGGGAGCTCAAGGCTTTGGACATTATCTAGGCAAATGGCTAAATAAAGCTTGTTTGTTTTTTCTAAGGCAGAAATATAGGGGCCAGCCCCGGCATTCAGTTAGACCGGAGTGAATCCGGAGTGACTCCACTGATCACTCCTCTGACTCCACGAGGAGCACTGCAGATTTCCCCTGGTGTCACTGCAAATGGGCTCTGGCCCAGTTTGGTTCTGGGCAGGGGGCAGTGGAGGAGCGAGGGTAGCTCAGGCAACGAGGGGGGTTTAGTTACTTGAGAAAAACAAAGCTGAATTCCCCCTCCCGGAGATCAGAGCTGAGCTCACATTCCGGAGCCAGGCTCCATCTGGGACCAGCTGGAGGAAGTGACCCCAACTGAGACACACAGAGACGCAACGGATTTCCTGAGCCACCCACATCCTCTGTGAGCACTCGGGGGAGGGGCTCAGGTTGGACCCTTAGTGAAAGGTTCCCACCCCTTCCTGCACCCCATGCATCCCAGCTCCCAGGTGTCACCCAGCAGAGCTTGCAGGCCAGGTCCCCACTAGGCAGAGGGTCTTCCTGGGTCTGGGGACTCAGTCCCGTGTGAGAAACAGCCCCCAGGCAAGAGGGCGCCTGCCTCCCCTTTAGCTCTGAGCTCCATGGTGAATGCGATGGACAGGCCCCACTGGCTAACCAGGCTTTGTTCTTCTCCAGCTCCTTCCCTCCCAAGGTGCTTCACCCACACCAGTGAGTTTAACTTCCCAGTGTCCCTGCAAGACAGAGACAATGCCCCCACGATGCAGAGATGGGGAAACCGAGGCACTGTCTCTGACATGCCCCAGGTGACACAGCGAGTCAACAGCAGTGCTGGGAACAGAAGCCAAGAGGCCTGTCTCCCTCCTCTAACCTCCAGACAACACTACCCTCACAGAGCCAGAGACAGAACCCAGGAGCCCTGACTCTCCATCCCCTGTTCTTGCTAGTAGACCACATTTCCCACCCAGAGTCAGGAGGAGAACCCAGGAGTCCTGGTTCCCAGAGCCTTGGTCTGGCCATTAAACCTCCCAACTTCCCACGCTGCAATAACATAAACAAAAATAAAAACTACTCACCAGTTTTTAAAAAGCAATTGCAGTGCCCATGCAAAAGGCACCAGCTTCACAGCCTAGAGACTGAAAACCTCTGTTTAACCCCCGAGTGGGTAGAGCATGGGCAGCAACTGGGCAAGCTCCCC